TTCTGCACAGGGTGTGGGGGAAGGAAGGAGTTGTAAATACCTATAAAGGACGTGATGCAGATAATTGGTGAAATTTGAACAATCCTGTGAATTAGATACTGTGTATTAAATAATGACACTGTACTAGTGTTAAATTTCCTGTTTTGATCATTTTACTGTGATTATGTAAGAGAATGTCCTTGTCTTAGGAAATATACACTAAAATATTTAGGGATAAAGCTTCCTTACGTCTGCAGCTTACTCATGTGGTTCAAAAAATAATGTGCGTGCGCGTGCGTGTGTGTGGACAGAGAAAATGATAAGCAAATGTGGCAAAATGTTAACAACAGGTACAGAGTTCACGGAGGTTCTTTGTAGTATTCTAGCAAGTTTTCTGTATGTTTGAAATTGCAGTTGGCCCTGCGTATCTGCGGTTCCACATCCTAGAATTCGGCCAACTACGTATTGAAAGGCCTGCAATGGTTGCGTCAGTACTGAACATGTACAGACGTTTTTCCTTATCATTATTCTGCAAACAATACAGAATAACACCTATTCACATAGCATTTATAATGTATTAGGTATTATCCGTAGTAGAGAGACCATTTAAAGCATATGGGAAGATGTACTAGGTTATATGGAAATATTGCATTTCCTGTAAGGGATGTGAGCATCCGGGGAGCTTGGTATCTGCGGGGGGGCGGGGGGGTCCTGGACCCAATCGCCAGAGGACGTGGAGAAACGACTATATATCTGCAGAAACGACTGTTATCAAAATAAAAGTCACCAAAAAAAGAGAAAATTGATTTTAAGGCATTTTTAAGTGCCTTATTTATTGAAAAACAAATGAAAAAAGAGCAAAATAAACAAACTTGCACCTAGAGGCTTGAGAATTTCAAGGTCTCAGCTAAGTTTCTTTCCACTGTGCATGCAGTTTGAGAGAGAGCCCCACTCTTTTCATGAGGGAATTTTCATGCTAGTCAAGGAAATCTATTATAAATTACTAGCTTAAATTCCCCAGATGTCTGGAGAATTCCTCAAAGGCACACATATTTTTATAAAAGCTGACACACTTAATATAACATACAAAAGACTTTTCTCCATGTTGGGTTCTGGCATAGAACCCAAGCAACCAGCTGTGACTACCCTTAATTTGGAATGGAAGAACCTGGCTATAGAAAAAAATGCTCTGAAATGTAATTCTCCTCATTGTAAAAGGTACAGAAAATGGAGTGCTGGTGAGATTGCAGTTGGAGAGAGTGACTCTCTGGATGTGAGGGAAGCTGATGTGAGCATTGGATAGAAAGAAAATAAAAATAAAAAATAATATCAGGCTTTGGAACTAAACAGCCGTGGATTAAATTCGTAGTTCTGGAACTTACTAGTGGTGTGCTCTGTGACTTTAATTTGTTTTACCACTATGAACCTCAGTTTCCTTGACTGGAGAATTAGGGTTATTTTGAGTGAGTTTTCTATACCTGGTGCTGCAAGTGATGAATGTACTATAGGTCCTGGACCAAGCAGGCTGAAGTGGGTGATGGATGCTGACTGCTGGGGCATCCTCATCTCTTACCTGCACTACCACAGCCTCTTATCAGGTCTCCGACATCCGCTCTCGTCCTCCTTCCAATCCATTTTCCACACAGTACCAGCATGAGCTTCCTAAAAGACAGATCTTCAGCTCAAAGTCCAAACTTCCTCATGTAACACACCAGCCCCTTCAGGATCTCATGGTCACATCTGTAAGGATCTGTCTGGCCTCTCTCACAATACTCCTCCCCACCCCTTGCCTTTATCTCCTCCACCCTCTCAGCTCTAGGGCTTCTCTGTAGACTTGTGCAATGATGCACATGTTCTGTATCTGCAAGGTCCAATATGGCAGCCACTACCACACACGGCTATTGAGCACTTGAAATGTGGCTAATGTGACTGAGGAACTGAATTTTTAATTTTTGAAATTTTATTTAAATTTAAATTTGAATAGCCACACATGGGTAGTGGCAGCCATATTGGACAGAGCAGACACATAAAACATCTTTAAGTTTCCAACTAGTTATGTCCTCTCTTGCCTCTGGGTCTTTGCCCTTGATGTTTCCTCTCATCTGAAGACCTTCTCTTCATTCATTATGTCTCAGCCTACGTGTCCTTGTTACATGCTTTCACAGGATAGGATGTATATAAACTCTACCACTGATAAGCTTTCAACCAACAAACTTTCCTTGGTGCAAGTAAGATTAAATTTCAGGGCAATAACACATTAACTATGCCTTTTGCTTTCTACTGACACATATGCAAGGAGTTTTTCTCCTTGCCCTTGGATGTTCATTAATTAAATGAGTGGAGGACATGCATGGGTGGTCACAGACCATGATTCATCCCATCAATGTGTTTTGTTTAGCTTTCACAACATTTTAAAAATGGAGCCACTTTTTTTTTTTTTGGTAGGGAAGACTGGCCCTGAGCTAACATCTGTTGCCGAACTTCCTCTTTTTGCTTGAGGAAGATTGTCGCTGAGCTAACACCTATACCAATCTCCCTCTATTTCATGTGTAGGATGCTGCCACGGCATGGCTTGATGAGCAGTGTGTAGGTCCGAGCCCAGGATCTGAACCCACAAACCCCAGGCTGCTGAAGCAGAGCATGCAAACTTAACCACTATGCCACCGGGCCAGCCTCGAGCCAACATTTTATTTATTTATTTATTTATTTTGTGAGGAAAATTTGCCCTTAGCTAACATCCTTTGCCAATCCTCCTTTTCTTTTTTCTCTTTGCTTGAGGAAGATTAGCCCTGAGGTAACATCCACGATGATCTTCCTCTACTTTTTATGTGGGATGCCACCACAGCGTGGCAGATGAGTAGGTCCGCAGCTGGGATCCAAACCTGCCAACCCTGGCCACCGAACTGGAGGATACAGACCTTTAACCACTCAGCCACAGAGCTCACCCCCCAAGCAAACATTTTAAATGGAAGAGATTTCATTAGAAATATGGATTCCTGAATGCTTTGGAAAAATTGGAACAGCTGGCCACAGTGGACCCACATTCACTTCTGCTCAGCCAGCTCATTACCAGCTAGACTCATTCCAATATTGTAGTCACTAGCCAAATGTGGCTATTTAAATTTAAATTAATAAAAATTGAGTAAAATTTAAAATTCAGTTCCTCAGTCTCACTGGCCACATTTCAAGTGCTCAATAGGCACATGTGGCTGGTGGCTACCAGGTGGGACAGGGCAGATACAGAACATGTCCATCATCCTAAAATGTTCTATTGAGCCTTATTATCTAGAGGGTAGTCCCGCAGATAGAGCAACAGCTTTTCAGGTCTCTGTGGTCCCCAGCCTGACCTCTGTAAGCGTTTGAATTTGAGAACCTGGTCTACCAGACACTTTTTGGTTTCTGCTTAATTTTGCAATGTTTTGACAACCCTGCTAACCCTATCCTGTCAGGAAGGTATAAAAGGAGAAAGAGGTGGAAGTGATCTGAAATAGTGAATACAGAAGTAGGATAATAAACCTGGGAAGTGGTGTGTGTGTGTGTGAGAGAGAGAGAGATAAGCACTACCTTAGTAGAAACTATTCAAGCCGGAAGCAAACCATGTGCATATGTAATCAATACTCAGCAAAAGGCGAGCAAAAGCAGTCAAAATGGAGTGATTCCTGGGGCCAGCCCGGTGGTGCAGCAGTTAAGTGTGCACCTTCTGCTTCAGTGGCCTGGGATCCGCCGGTTCGGATCCTGGGTGTGGACATGGCACCACTTAGCAAGCCATGCTGTGGTAGGCATCCCACATATAAAGTAGAGGAAGATGAGCACGGATGTTGCTCAGGGCCAGCCTTCTCAGCAAAAAGAGGAGGATTGGCAGCAGATGTTACCTCAGGGCTAATCTCCCTAAAAAAAAAAAAAGGAGTAATTCCTGGGTATGTAGCCTGCAGGGGTCACAGGTAGTATAAATATAAATGAAGGGGGTCTGGGTAGGGTCTGTTGAACTAGGGGGTGGTGATGGGGAGTAGATGTTGGTTTAAGGGCAGGAGCCCCCAAATTCCTGTTGAATATTACAGTGGGAATGGGCTTGGATCTTCCAATTTTTCTAGAGAACTCAGGAATCCAGACTTTTTATGTGAAATCTCCAAATTTTTAGATGTTAGCTCAGATTTTTTGGAAACACTGTCCAGGCAAAGCAAACAAAGTTTCCAGTCGGATTTAGCCCCTGGGTGCGAGTTTGCCAAGTCTGAGTCAGGAGGTTGGCAGCGCAGCAGAGACCAGCTCGCCTGAGGCTGATCGCAGAGAAGCCTGGGCATTGAGAATGCAAGATCAGTCTGGGAGGCAATCATGCCACCATCCCGCGACACTGGGTAAAAAGGTCCCAGGCTCATCGGGGGCTATCTGCAAAGCATCAAAGTCATAGAGCAGCAGCGAGTGCTGATCTCTTGGACGCTATGATTTCCAAACCTTGGTGCACACAGGAATCCCTTAGGAAGCTTTTCAGAATTCTGATGCCGAGGTGTCACCCTAGCCCAGGTGAACCAGAATGTCTAGGGGTAGGACCCCAGGGGATTACAATATGCAACAAAGTTTGAGAACCAATACACTACGGGACTCTATGATTCCAAGTACCTGTCTCCACAGTGTTGATAAATCTGGTCTTTGGGGGGAAATATGCCCATAGAAGGCAAGAAAGCTATAGTCGACCTTCCATATCCATGGGTTCTGAATCCTCGAATTCAACCAACCACAGATTGAAGGCCCACGATGGCTGTGTCCGTACTGAACAAGCACAGACTTTATTGTTGCACTATTCCCTAAGAAACACAGTATAACAACTTTTCACATAGCCTTTACATTATGTATTATAAGTAATCTAAAGATGATTTAAAGTATATGGGAGGCTGTGTGTAGGTGATATGCAAATATTGTGCCATTTTATGTAAGGAACTTGAGTATTTGCAGATCTGGGCATCTGCAGGGGTCCTGGAACCAATCCCCCCCCATACTGAGGGATGACTGTATTTTAAATTTTGAAGGTTGTCTCACTTTCGATGGCAAATGAATCCAGGAGTGACAAGCTTAAACCTGTCCTTAGTCACTTTGGACTTAGGAACGATGGACTTCACAAACAGCCACAGGTGAGTGGAGAAGTTGGGCTCCCTGTCAAGGAGCTCATTGCACTTTATTGGTGTTATTTAATTATGCGTCCTCAAATGGACTCTGAGAGCTTTACGAGGGCAGGACTGTCCCAGGCATGGAGCCCACATTCGGGGCCTAGGAGTTACTTACAAATATGTGTTGATTAGATGCCATGGGGACGTAGGGAAGGTAAGTTAATTGGGGGCGAAAGGATGTGGGGTGGGATACTGGTTGAAGCTACATTTCAACAGCACTTTACACAGAACTGAGAAAGCATCCGTTGTCCGTATCCAAGAACAGAGGTGGGTTTGATGGAGACCACCTGTGATGGCTATTGAAAGAATGAAACCTGCAAAGTACCCAGCCCATAGGAGTGTCCAGGAGGAGTCCCTAAGATGGCTTCCTTACGACCTCTGCCAATTTTAAGTATAAGAATGAAAAACTCTGAAAAACCTGTGTCTGTGAATAGGGACACACCATAATGTGATGATTAAGCAGACTCTGAAGCCAGAGTGCCCAGGTACCACTTTGGACTTCAAGCACATCATTGAACGCCTCTGTGCCTCAGTTTCCTCATCTGGAAAATGTGGACCATAATACCTACGCCAACAGGTGGGTGTAAGGAGTTAAGGGGTGATTTTGTGTAAAGAGATCAAAAGAGTACCTGGCACAGGGCAAGTGTTAGCTGGTATTTTGTTGGAGAATATCAGAAAAAAGGATGTAGTGCTTCTTTTGGATAAACACGTCAGATGTTTGGAAAACACGGACCATGAGCTACCTAGAATGCAGGGTTCACAAGGTCTTGGGGTCAAAGCCTAAGGGGAAAGGGAGGCGAGACAGCTCCCTAGTTCTCAGACTCTGTTTAAATCTCTTTAAACACGCGGTAGTAGTCTAGAAAGATTGGCTGATTCAGTGAGAATGATTACGCACACACTGGTCCCCTCACCCCCAGGCCAGGGTGGATAGTGGGGGACCCTCAAAGTCCATGTCCTGTGACGGTGTGCTAGTAACTGCGCCTTCTGATCCGATTCTAAACGAGTCACACCGCACCTGAGTTCACTGAACTCGTCCACTTCTGTCTTCAAAGTATGATGTGCTGTGTATGCACGTGCATTTGACTAAGCAGAATGTTAGTTTGTGTTTGGATTTGGGACTTATGAAGTATGTGTCTGCTCCATATGTCATTAAAAATATTCTTTTTCTAAGCAGTTAACACCACTTTCTGTCCTTTCTTATAGAAAGATTTCTTAAAAGTTGGTTTTTCCTTCCCCCCAGATTACCAGGTGGCCTTTGGTTGCTGCTGTCCACTCCAGGCACAGATGCAGTTCTTAGGTCCCATTTCTTCAGGCTATTTATTTTTTTCTTAACTGTGGAAGAAACTACAAAAACCTAAACCCGTAACGTAAGATATATGGCGACAGCATGAAGGCAGGCTCTCGGCCCGTAAAATACAGATTGAAAGTCTTAAATGTTCTCATGACACAAATTAGCTCAGCGAATTGGCTACCTTCCCTTGTCAGCATCGCTCCTCACACACACGGACTCAGAAATTGGTCCTCCGCTGTCAGCAACTCGAGAACGCAGGCAGAGGCTCCAGCTTTCGAGCTCACTTCTGTGGGAGTTGTACAAAACATTTGTTTTTTACAACTGTAAAAAAATGCGCTTCATTTTTTTAAAGGGAGAGGGAGGAGTTTGGGGGTGATTTAAGAAAGACTAGTGGCTTTGAAAAAGATTTATTCAACAACTCGTGAGAAAACAGGAGTTTATAATGTTTATATCTGTCTGTCCGTTTTGCGTTGCCTCTCAGAAAGATGTAATGCTTATCTCGGGAAGGAAGCAGTTTTATATTTTAAAATTCTCTCAACCAAAACTTGCCTCCCCAATCTCAAACACTTCCCAGCTTTTCCTGCAAACTGGGTCACCCCATGTCAGCACAATTTGTGGCTCTAACTAGACAGTGTGCATTTTCCTAGTAAATGATACAAGGACATTTTATAGCCAACAGCTTCCAACTTCCACGTCTTCATGGATTGTGGCTTGCCATATATTAAGATTTATTCTGCACCCCAACTATTATTTATTTACTCTGTTTTCCCTTTAAACAATTCACCAAAAATTTTATGTCAAATTGATAGTTTTAAATATAATATCCCAGAAATTCTATTTCACCTTCTCACCAAAGCTCACATACAATACTTTTAAATTTAATAAAATGGCTGTCTTGAATGCGACATGATACACATGGATATTTGGGTATTTTTTTGAGATGAGCAGATATGACAGAAAGAGCACTAGACTGGAATCCAGGAGCCCTAAGCACTATGCCCAGCTTTGCCATCAACTGTGTGGCCTTGGACAAGTTGAATAATTTGCTATCTTGTAAAATAGGACAAGAGATCTAGAACTCTGAAGGCTGGTTTACTCCCAAAATTCTATGGTTCTTTAATTCTGTTTTTTTTTTTCAAAGATTTTATTTTTCCTTTTTTTCCCAAAGCCCCCTGGTACATAGTTGTACATTTTTTTAGTTGTAGGTCCTTCTAGTTGTGGCATGTGGGACACCGCCTCAATGTGGCCTGACGAGCGGTGCCATGTCCACGTCCAGGATTTGAACTGGTGAAAGCCTGGGCCTCCGAAGCAGAGCGCGAGAACTTAACCATTCGACCATGGGGCCGGCCCCATATGGTTCTTTAATTCTGTATGCTGTGGGAAAAAAACTGACAATGTTTTACCTTCAAATATAAATAGTTTCCAACATTTCTGGGTGGTTAATCAACCAAAATGGTGGGTAGATTAGGTCAGACCTTGCAGGTGCGCCTGCACTGGCACGCCAGCCAGGCTTGCTGCTTCACTGCAGAAACCCTGTAAACTGTTGCATCTGCTGCGAACCTTAACCACAAATGTTCCTTAGAGGTGAGCGTCTTCATGTGTATTTCTTCTCTAAGAATCTTCCATAAAAGCCATAGTTCCAAAAACAAGGAACCCTCTCTCACCAAAATAGCAGGCTTATTTGCTCTCCATCAAATGTTCGCACATTTTGATGGGATCAGAATCATCTGCAAAATTTGTAAAAAGGTAACAGATGCTCAATCTCCATCCCAAACTTATCCAATCAGAATCAGTGGGGTTGGGCCCAGGCATCTGCATTCTTCACATGCTTCTTCCCTGCTCCCAACATCCATCAAAGATGGAGAAACACCGGCCTAGGTTCATGTAACAATACGGTAATACCATAGAGTGCAAAATTCAAGCATAGACCTAAATTGAAAATACATTTAAATGAAACACTTGGTCACCAATTTTTCTTTTCTTTTCTTTTCTTTTTTACTGGACTACTGGAATTAAAGAAAAATGAAAATATACAGATTCTACACTTTCACAAGTGAACATCAGATTTACCCACACTGCTTCTGGTTCTCATATTTTTCACTGTGATCAGTACAGAACATCTACGCTATTCATATTCAATAAATGAGAAGCCAAACTTTCCCAGTAATCACAACATCTCTCATGCAAACAGAAGAGTTTGATGAAAACAATTTCATTTTCTAGAGCGGGTGGGCAGGGGGAAGGTATCTGGAGTGAGTTAGAAACCCCACTCAACCCACCTCAGCTCCTGCCCACTATTGCCAGGCAGGAGTGAGCAACCTCATGTGGCCAGATCTTCCCATTTTCCAAGAGAAGCTAGAAATTGAGTTTGTATTTATATTCTTGCAATTTTTAAATGGTGGGCAATTAATTCAAATGTTTTTTAAAACACCACTTAGAAGTGTACCTTTGTGTCCAAACATAAAACAAAGCAAAATACATCAGCCCAGATTTTACCTAAATGTCCTAAGTTTGTAATCTCTGTTCTAGTAGCTCTCAGTTCTGTATCTGAATTCAGTTAAGACAATCCACTCACAAAAATGACTTCATCCAGCTGGCACATAGTGTTATGCTCTCTGCCTCTAGAACCAGCAGAAGTCTCTGCCACCTTTGAACTATGGGGTTCATACGAGGAGCCACACACTAGGTTCATTTGTTCACCCAGCAGACATTTAGCAAGCTCCCATCCTGTGCCAGGCACTGAGAGCACAGCGGTAAATCAAATCTTAGCTAAGTTTAGTATTTGGCATAGCACATAAAAAATATACGAAGCTCACCAGTCAGTCAGTGGGCAAGATTAAAAATACAGACAGGCAAAATCTGAAGAGCAGAATGATAGATCAGAGACCATTTTTTCAGATGAGGCTGAAGCCCAGAAAAATGAAGGTTGGCCAAGGATCACACAGCTAGAATGAGAGTAAAAATCACAGCCCAGAGCTCCTGCCTTGAGTCAAGACTCTTCTCACCCCTTCTGCTATTTCCCTAACCCAAGGGGACTGAGAAAGGACTGACAAAGGAAACTAGCCGGCTTTATGCCACTCAGAGAGATGACCTCACTTTGCCAAGTTCTCATTTGGAAAGTAATTGAATATTCCATCTAGAATTGACTCAGAATTTCTCGTACCTTCACGGAGATTATCATTTCCAGCTAGTCAGAAGCCATTCTCTCTTACCTCAGAACATATGAAACAACAGAAAAGAAAGGAGTTGTTTATATCTATCACGAATAGAAAGAAAAATTGAGTCAAACAGCCAACCTTCACAAAATAGGAAAAGAACACCAATATCAGTGTTAGTAAGAGCCAGGAAAATGAACAGGATAGTAGAAGTGAGGGTGAGGGAAGGGTTTACTCAGTCTTCGCTAGAAATGTCCTACCTTTACTCTGAAACCACACTGCAACCGAATATGAATCCACTGGAAGAGAGAAAGGAAGTATTTTCCTGAGTGGCCACAAGAATAACCAGTTCTATAAGCTGCCCCTAGTATTTTTGATCATTTTCTAAGCAAGTACTACCTATAAAATGTAACCTTATTTTGAAAAGTCATAGCATTCTCTATCTTCAAAGGTGGGAGAAACAGGTGTGCCTGAACTGATGAATTTCACAAGTGTTTGGAATGTGTATGAATTTCAGAAGCTAAATGATAGATGGTCGACTTTAGAAAGAGAAGCGAAAATGACTCCTGGGGTGTGCTTGCCAATAGCGGAGTTCTCCTATCTCCAAATAAAAAAGTAACTTGAAAAGACTAATTCCAAAAGAGAGATTACGAGTGACTTTTATTCTTTTTAAATACTTTCCAAGTAATAAGCAATGTTGAAAAACAGGAGGAAAATTTTTTTTTTTAAAGATTGGCACCTGAGCTAACATCTGTTGCCAATCTCTTTTTTTTTTTCTCCCCAAAGACCTCCCCAGTACACAGTTGTATATTCTAGTTGTGGTCCTTCTGGTTGTGCTATGTGAGATGCCACCTCAGCATGGCCTGATGAACGGTGCCATGTCTGCGCCCAGGATCCAAACCAGTGAAGCCCTGGGCCGCCGAAGCGAAGCACGCGAATTTAACCACTCAGCCACGGGGCTGGCCCCAGAAAAAGTATTTTTAAAAATAACAAAGCATTTATAAAAAATCAAAACCTTGTAATTATTAACTTATATTTTTTTTGCTTGAGGAAGATTAACCCTGAGCTAACATCTATGCCAATCCTCCTCCACTTTGTATGTGGGTCGCTGCCACAGCATGGCTAACGAGTAGTGTAGGTACATGCCTGGGATCCAAAGCCACAAATCTGGACCACTGAAGTGGAGCACAGGAACTTAACCACTATGCCACAGGGCCAGCCCCCAAAATCTTGTAATTCTTACCTTCAACTTGCCGTGATTCTAAAAATGGAGAAACTCTATTCTCAGGAAAGCCAGAGTGGAAGCAAATAGGGTGTAAAACTTACTTGAAGCTGTTTTTTTCAAAACTGGCACATTAATTTATTAGTGCTTAAATCTCTGTAAGGTCTTTGTCCCATTACCACAGCCTTAGAAAAAATTCCCCCTTTTAAACTTGGAAACTACACAATTTTTCCTTTCCCATTAACCAATTAAATTCACAATTTGACATCATAACAAAACCTGTAGGGAAAGCAGTGTTACAATGGAACATGCTCATGAAACAAGGCATACTTAAAACACTGAAGCCCTAATGAGGGACGGACCTCAAGGAGCCTGTTGTTCAGTCCAATGTTTAAAAATCAGACCCTTAAGAGACGTGCAAACAGCATGATTTAGATCACTAGAACGAGTTTTATGAAATGAAAAACACCACACAGTGGAAATACATGTTGATGACTAGTATGAAAGTTTAGATTAAGTACTAACTTTGATGTCAAAGTTCACAAGGTGATAAAAGTTTTTAAGGGAAAAGTGATCATGAGGGAAAATGCACATGCAGTCTGAAAAACAGGAGAAATCATTAAACGGACAGGAAAAGCGGCCTAAAAAGGGCCCATAAGAGATGTGATATTTTCTCATTTACTTTGATCAAGTATAATAGAAGGGAAATTGAATCTTATTTTCCTCTTTTCTCTTCACTAGTACAAACTAGGTAGTTAAACTTTGTCTTCCTAAGTCCAAAGTCTGGCAGTGAGTTGGGAACTATCACAAAAATGACCGAAAAACAGAAATTTTAAATACAGATGGCATTATACAACGCTACTATCCCAGCATATTGGAACAAGGAACAAATTAAGCCAGAGGTTCTCAACTGGTATGTTTTGAGTCATTCACAGGTATGCTCCCAAATTTTGAACATGTAAATAAAATTGTCTTGCTTTCACTGAGGTGTGGTAGTCATCAGCACTGCCAACAGGTTCTCTTTCCAGACCCCGGGAGGGAGACTGAACTTTCGTACCTTCTTGCGCTGGTGGGGCCATAGTTCTGGCCACAGGGGTTGAGCGGAAGGGACACAGGTCCACTGCCGGGAGGAGCACGTAACTGCTAACCTACAGCCTTCCAGAGCCCTTTCCCTTGGCCACAACCATCAGGAAGGTTCAAGACAGTGGCTATTCCATCAGCCTAGAATCCCCGAGTGTCTGCACGAAATAGAGCTCCCAGCCAACTTGCAGATAGGCACATATGCAGTGTGTGCCCGGGACATAAACCTTTGTTGTTGTGACGCCGCTGAGATTTTGAGGGGTTTTGTTACTAGAGCGTAATACAGCTCACCCGACTGAAGCAAAAGGACACACATTGGGAGGGTGCGATTTGTCCACCAGGCTGCTGAGAGGCTCATGAGACTCAGGAGAGCTGGGGTCTCTGTGCCATCAGGAAGTAAGAAGTGTATTATAAGGTAAAATTCATGCCAAAGAAGTCTCCACTTTTATTAAAACATCTGAGTACTTTTCCTTAGGTCCATGTGAGAGAAAGTCCTTTGGGAAGAAGAGTCAACAATGCTAAAGGATAGCCAAGTTCACTGTGCCGTAAATGATTTCAACTTTGTCTGCAATTTTATTCCTTCAAATAAGACAACAGGAAGTTTAATATTTGAACATGTACTTTTACACAAAGGCTGAAAATCAGCCTTTTAAATCAGAGATGGCTGCTAGGTCTTTGGACAAGAGCCTGGCTACCAGTAGAGGGAGCCACCTGCTCTGTTCCTGCCTACCCTGGCTCACAAAAGCCTGGCGAGAAACTTCCAGCTACACGCGGGAGAAATTCATTCTCATCTAGCCACTTCTTTTCTAGATGTAAAATTGTGCTGGTGCCAGGCTAGTTGGATAGAATCACCCAGGATGCTTTGAAATGCACGTGCTCAGGCACCCCCAAAGGCTGATTCGGTAGGTCTGAAATGGGCTTCAGAAATGCGTAATTTTTTGTAAAGCTCCCAGATGCTTCTGATGCAGAGCTAGGTTTGCTACCACGGGCAGGAGATTTCAAAGAACTGGTCCTTTTCAGTTAAAAAGCTTTGCCATCTGCAGGGCCTTTTTGACAGGGATCAAGATATATAAAAAGCCCAGCTAGATAAAAACAAAACCTCCTAAGAACAGAATTTCAATAAAACACTTTACAATAATAGTAATCACAGGAACAAGACATCGTTATCCTCAAAATTTAAATTTATTAAGACATTCAGCTATGTCTGTCAGTCTACATCCAAATTTGCTACTAAAAAGAAAATAAAGTCACATCCCACATTAGGAATACCGAGTCTGAAAAACACTTTTTGAGCCAATCCTATTGTATAAATAAATGACTAGTTTCTTTTCATATCAAAATTCCCATAAAAAATTACATTCCCCCCTCCCCAGTTCTACCTGTAGCCATGATGAATGTAAAAATTTAAATATGACACATCCTCGTCAAAGAAAAGGTGCAAAGTCTATTAACAGCTTTAAAAGTGGCATTTGCAGAATGTGATCATACAGTTATGTACTCATTCCCAAAGTGCAAATATTGCCATAATTTAACACTGTTTTGATTCAGTTGCAAGAATTAAACATTACACAGGATTGAAAAGTACACTTAGGGCCTTTATCAGTGCCCTAAAGCCCTTCCCACTTTGGCCTCCTACACTAACGTGGACTCCAAAGTGTTCATTAGAGTTTTAGTTTACTTCACACAGCCAACAGAGTATACAACATATTAACAAAAGCTTCATATACATGAAAATAGTGAAGACTCCATCATGAAGTTCAAGAGCCTCAGATTATGTGAATGCACCCGCAAGGCCCATGTGCCCACCCCCCCCCCCCGCCCCTAAGCACAAACCACGTATGAGCGTGCTTCAATCTCTGAATACAATCAATGCATTTACATCTTTGATTTCATTTCGGTGCTGTACAAAATTCAATCAT